GATTGTCATTGTTCATTCTTAATGCCCGAGGCTCAGGCAGTCAGATTTTGAGACGAGGATATTCATTGTTCATTCTTAATGCCCGAGGCTCAGGCAGTCAGATTTTGAGACAAGGATTGTCATTGTTCATTCTTAATGCCCGAGGCTCAGGCAGTCAGATTTTGAGACGAGGATATTCATTGTTCATTCTTAATGCCCGAGGCTCAGGCAGTCAGATTTTGAGACGAGGATTTTCATTGTTCATTCTTAATGCCCGAGGCTCAGGCAGTCAGATTTTGAGACAAGGATTGTCATTGTTCATTCTTAATGCCCGAGGCTCAGGCAGTCAGATTTTGAGACAAGGATTGTCATTGTTCATTCTTAATGCCCGAGGCTCAGGCAGTCAGATTTTGAGACAAGGATTGTCATTGTTCATTCTTAATGCCCGAGGCTCAGGCAGTCAGATTTTGAGACAAGGATTGTCATTGTTCATTCTTAATGCCCGAGGCTCAGGCAGTCAGATTTTGAGACGAAGATTGTCATTGTTCATTATTAATGCCCGAGGCTCAGGCAGTCAGATTTTGAGACGAGGATTGTAATTGTTCATTCTTAATGCCCGAGGCTCAGGCAGTCAGATTTTGAGACAAGGATTTTCATTGTTCATTCTTAATGCCCGAGGCTCAGGCAGTCAGATTTTGAGACGAGGATTTTCATTGTTCATTCTTAATGCCCGAGGCTCAGGCAGTCAGATTTTGAGACGAGGATTTTCATTGTTCATTCTTAATGCCCGAAGCTCAGGCAGTCAGATTTTGAGACGAGGATTTTCATTGTTCATTCTTAATGCCCGAGGCTCAGGCAGTCAGATTTTGAGGCAAGGGTTTTCATTGTTCATTCTTAATGCCCGAGGCTCAGGCAGTCAGATTTTGAGACGAGGATTGTCATTGTTCATTCTTAATGCCCGAGGCTCAGGCAGTCAGATTTTGAGACGAGGATTGTCATTGTTCATTCTTAATGCCCGAGGCTCAGGCAGTCAGATTTTGAGACAAGGATTTTCATTGTTCATTCTTAATGCCCGAGGCTCAGGCAGTCAGATTTTGAGACGAGGATTTTCATTGTCCATTCTTAATGCCCGAAGCTCAGGCAGTCAGATTTTGAGACGAGGATTGTCATTGTTCATTCTTAATGCCCGAGGCTCAGGCAGTCAGATTTTGAGACGAGGATTTTCATTGTTCATTCTTAATGCCCGAGGCTCAGGCAGTCAGATTTTGAGACGAAGATTGTCATTGTTCATTATTAATGCCCGAGGCTCAGGCAGTCAGATTTTGAGACGAGGATTGTCATTGTTCATTCTTAATGCCCGAGGCTCAGGCAGTCAGATTTTGAGACGAAGATTGTCATTGTTCATTATTAATGCCCGAGGCTCAGGCAGTCAGATTTTGAGACGAGGATTGTCATTGTTCATTATTAATGCCCGAGGCTCAGGCAGTCAGATTTTGAGACAAGGATTTTCATTGTTCATTCTTAATGCCCGAGGCTCAGGCAGTCAGATTTTGAGACGAGGATTTTCATTGTCCATTCTTAATGCCCGAGGCTCAGGCAGTCAGATTTTGAGACGAGGATTTTCATTGTTCATTATTAATGCCCGAGGCTCAGGCAGTCAGATTTTGAGACAAGGATTTTCATTGTTCATTCTTAATGCCCGAGGCTCAGGCAGTCAGATTTTGAGACGAGGATTTTCATTGTCCATTCTTAATGCCCGAAGCTCAGGCAGTCAGATTTTGAGACGAGGATTGTCATTGTTCATTCTTAATGCCCGAGGCTCAGGCAGTCAGATTTTGAGACGAGGATTGTCATTGTTCATTCTTAATGCCCGAGGCTCAGGCAGTCAGATTTTGACGCCTCGAGAATCGTTTCGGGTTTGTTGCTAATATCTGAAGCTGGTGGGAGACAAGGGCACGGTGATGAGATGTTAACTATCTCGCCTGGTATACAGGAGGTCGTGGGTTCGATCCCGACCTTGACGCCTGCTGTATATTTGGAGTTTGCGTGTCTCTGCCCGTGGTGGCGTGGATTTTTTCTCCGGGCCCTCCGGTTTTTCCCTCCGCATTTAGAATCAACAACATTCGTTTAGTGTATTTGGCTGCTGTGCATTTCCAAATGATAAGCCGCCACTTCTCGTTGAGCTATCATTTGTGATAGCCAGGTCGCTTCTGAAATAGAGCTATGCAGCTCAGTGGGCCTTACCTGATAAAAAAATACATATAGTTTTTAGTTTAATAGTTTAGTTTCTCAGCGTTCATCATGAATACCAAAGGCTTGTTAAGCCAGATTAAGGCACGTTTATGGTTCATTTGGTTCAGTGTTGATGTCTGAGGCTCGGTAAGCCAGATCAAAGAACCTTGAAGGATCTTGTAATTCGTTGATAATGTTTAAGCATCACAGAGTGCAACGTTGAAGGCAATTACTAACTGCTGTTGGGAACATTGATTTTCAATAAATGTAATGTTTCATGTTTTGAAAGGTATGGATATAGGCCCTATTTTATTGATGAAATAAAATAGAGCATATGAAAATCACTCGGAGGTCTTTTTTGTGGTCTTGCCGAGTTATTTTTTTATTTATTTAATCCATCTGTGTGGAGCTTTGAGCGTCATCTGACTTGTACACAATATGCTCATGAGCCTTATAACCCAGGTGAGTACCTAAAAAAGAAGACGTGCAGTGAAAGGCATTTCAGTGCAGAAAAACAAACAAGACAATCATGAAACATTTATACACATGGCACGATTTGAAGTGGAACATTCATCAAATGTACCCAGCAAGGCCTCACTGAGTCACATTTTCTTCACGAGTGTTCTGGGATGTTTGACCAGGTCCATGCATTATTGTGTTTGACTTCATGTGTGAGAAAACTCGAGTACCAGGATCAAACCCCCATGAAAACAAGCGGATAGATTTCAGTCCTGCCATCTCCTGGCCAGCTTGCAGTGCCACGTCGCTATTCCGTTTCATGGTCTCCGTGGTCCAGTGACCAACCAGGCTCGTCACCGCTTAGCCTCTGAGATCACATGAGATTGGGCACATTAAAAGGTTATTTTGGTGATATTCTTACATTTAGATATACGGAAGTTAAAACAAATTTGTTGTATTGTTTTACTTTTCAAAAGTGTAAATTAAATTGTAAATGAATCGGTAGCATTAAACTTCAACCTTATGAACTCTGAAACTTTGTGGGATTGCAGCTTTTGAAATATGGACAAATCTTTAATTCACTTCATTACATTTGAGCATTCGAACCACGCACCGGACAGGCCAGAAGCACAGGTATATTATACCCAAAGAGGTTTTGGGGATCGTTAACGTTCAACAAATTCTTCTGACCCCTCCTCACTAAAATGCTGATAGAAAAATGGATAATCACTAGCTACGACCCCATCCTCATTAATCATGGGAAGAAATTAGAGTGAAGTAACCAATACTATGGAGTGGGTAACGATTCGCCCCTCTGGCGGTTTAATTAATTGTCGTGCTTCATAGCCACGTAGGGTCGCCACGTTTTCCACTGCAGACCAAACCCGGACAGATGTCTCAGTCTACACTGGGTCTATGATCGGAACAAGGTGCACTCTGCTGATATAAAGTTCAACGCAGCTTCGCCGGGAACCAGATTTCGGTACAAATCAACTCCTGGCCACTGGCAGAACCAGTGTGGGGGGGGTTGCACGTGCCCCCCCCCCCCCCCCCCCAATGATCCGATCGAAATCCCTAATTTCGATCGGATCATTGGGGTTTATTAGTAATAGATAGGCATTTTGCGACCCCCACTGCCACTGTGCAGCATATTATTACGTGCCAGGGACTTTATGAGATGATAGGACAATAGTCTGAGTCCATAATTGGCAATAAGTATTGCGTATACAGTACACGGCTTCCCTGAAGGCATACCTTCAGCGAGCGCGATACCGATCACACACGGTTCGAATTCGTCCCTCGATCGATGGCTGTGCCATCGACGCACACGCGTCGAATAAAAATCAAGGGACAAGTCCTTGCTTACTAACAACTCCTCTATCATTTTTTCCTTGCTGGAGGGGTTGCCCCCCCCCCCCGCCACTACCTGAAAATCCTGGCTCCGCCATTGCCTCTGGCAACCAAATACAAACACCAACACCCGGACTGTCTGGGGGTCAAACCCAGAGGCCGTTCAACGAGCTGGAACCACCAGGAGTCTCTTGCACCATCACAATCCATCCCCACTAAGTCGGTCTTCTACGATCAGCTCGTTACTTTGGAGAGCACGAGCGCAATTGCTTCTGATTGTCTTTCTACCATCTTCGATTCAATTTAATTGGCGCTCTGTTTCGAATGGGTATTTTTAGTTGTGAATTGTCATCGCGTGTTTTCGATAGGATTTGACGTGCGTACCCATGCTGTGACGCCTCCATTTAACTCCGTTGCACAATGTAATTTCCGCAAGGTGTTACTTCGTCGCGGAGACGCGTGGAGAGGTTACGCGCGTGTAATGACATTGACGCGGAGAGAGGAACGTGCGGATTAGATGACGGACACAAAGTCAGAGACATTGACATTGACCGTTCGGAAAAGTAAAGTGGGCTCGGGCAGAGAACATCCCTGACAGGGATGGTATACCCAATCCATATTGGGTATCCTCACTCATGCAAACGGTCTCTGCGTGGTCTACTCAATCCTTATCCGACATCCTGTTTACAAAGGTAAAGGCGCAGCCCTGCGATTACTTGCTCACGCCACTGGTGGCGTAATGAGCCTCCGTTAGAAGGATCTTTAGACAGCCCCTTTCAGAGGGTGTTTGGCCTACTCTTCTACATTGACCAGGAGGAAATACTACTACTGTACTCCTGCACCAGGAGATGGAATTGAATGAAACCGGCGACTTCTGGACTCGTGGTCCAGAGGTCGCCTCCCGCTGCACCGCTGACCGTTCGCTCGCTCTCCTGATGTCTTCTCCCCTCCGCTGCCTTCCCTTGATCGCTCACATCCAGGCCGGGCAAACCAACCCCACCGCCCGCCTCTTCATCATCAACCTCTTCGGGCTGCCAGTGGAGCACATCGTTGAGCTGCTGCCCCCCGAGATGCTGCGCTACCGGCGAGTAAACGCACACACGGCGCCACGCGGCCACCGGCGATCGCCAGCGGCGTTCAAGGCGAGGTAGCTCTGGAGAGACGAGAGGATGAGTGGCGAGGCAGGGCCGAGGCAGGGCAGAGGTAGGGCAGAGTAAGGGCACAGGTAGGGCAGAGACAGGGCAGAGGCAGGACACAGACAGGGCAGAATTAAGGCAGAGGCAGGGCAGAGGTAAGGCAGAGACAGGGCAGAGGCAGGGCAGAGGTAAGGCAGAGACAGGGCAAAGGTAGGGCAGAATTAGGACAGAGACAGGGCAGAGGAAAGGCAGAGACAGGGCACAGGTAGGGCAGAGGCAGGGCAGAGGCAGGGCAAAGGTAGGGCAGAATTAGGGCAGAGACAGGGCAGAGGAAAGGCAGAGACAGGGCAGAGACAGGGCACAGGTAGGGCAGAGGCAGGGCAGAGGCAGGGCAAAGGTAGGGCAGAATTAGGGCAGAGACAGGGCAGAGGCAGGACACAGACAGGGCAGAATTATGGCAGAGACAGGGCAGAGGTAGGGCAAAGATAGGGCAGAATTAGGGCAGAGCAGGGCAGAGGTAGGGCAAAGGTAGGGCAGAATTAGGGCAGAGCAGGGCAGAGGTAGGGCAAAGGTAGGGCAGAATTAGGGCAGAGGCAGGGCAGAATTAGGGCAGAGGCAGGGCAGAGACAGGGCAGAGGCAGGGCAGAGGCAGGGCAGAGGCAGGGCAGAGGCAGGGCAGAGGCAGGGCAGAGGCAGGGCAGAGGCAGGGCAGAGGCAGGGCAGAGGTAGGGGAGGGGTAAAGGAGCTGTTGTCGTGCTGTGCTACGAACCTGCAGACCCGGGTTCGATTCCCACTCATGGCTAACACCAGTGACGATTATCTGAACCGGTCCTGGGCCTACCCTCGATCGACTCAGCCTCAAATGAGTACCTGGTGTGGTGTGAAAACATCGCCACAAGGGAGACAAAGGTGGCCAGGCATGGTGTTGGCCACGCACCCCCTTGTGTGCTGTGTCTGCCCTCATAAGTGCTCACGAACAGCACTTTCCCTGAAAGTCTGTTAATGGCTATATGGGGGATCTTTGTCTTGACTTTGTTGATCACAGGGAGCACTACTTCACGATGGTGCGCTGGGTGACGGGAACCCAGGTGGCTGTCACGTGGGTCAACCGGAGGCAGAACCTATCGGTGCTCACCGTGTGCGAAGCCACCACTGGGGCATGCAGCGAGGTACACACTCGCAAACAACAACAATAAGCGCTTGTGCCAAGCTAGGTACACTTTAAGGCCACAAGAAGTGAGGAAGTCTCGCTGTCAGGAGGTCACGGGACAGACCCAGGTGCCATGGGTTGACTAACATGACTGGCAGATGCACCAGCTGTGCTCCCCACTGTGCCAACTTTTGCTTGCTTTTAAACCGCCCGACGCTCTGCTCATTGTTGTGTGAGGATCGCGCCTCTGCCCTCCATTGTTGCTGGAGGTCAAATGCCTCCAACTCCCCGGGAGCGATCCTTCAAGAGCCTGCTCCACAGATGCCGATTCTTGACACTCCGTCGGCAAGCCCACTCAGCTCCACGTCCTCCTGTATCGGCATTAGCCCATCTCCTCTCCAGCCTGTGCCGTGTCCCATTTAGCCCCCTCTATCCGGCCAAACAGAAGCAGCTTGGGTATGCGGTGGCTGAGCATGCGCGCTACGTGACTCAAGGCTACGCAGCCTCGCCTATCTCACTGACGGGACCGTGCCCAGATCAACTGTCGCTCCCCGCGCACACGCACACACGGCACATGGACTGGGGAACTCTCTGCCACAGGCTACCAGGGAGTCCGGTCCAGTTGGGATCTTCAAGTCTCTCCGCTGAAAGACATTTCCCTTTCAGAAGTCATTTGATTGTTTTGACTCGGAATGAATTCTTACCCAACCCGTCCCCCTTCCCCGGTGCACTCCCCCCCCCATTGTTATGTAAAGCACCTTGAGAATTATGTAAGGGCGCTGTATAAGCTGTAATTATTATCTTAATCTTGATAATGAACAAAAGAATTGCGCGATCATTATTTAATTATTATTATCATCATGTTCACTCTGCCACCCCTGCATCTGCCAACCCCCCCCACCACCCTTTGTTGCCTCCGCAGAGATACCGTGAAGCGTCGGAGGCCTGGCTGCCCAGACAGGTGACGCGCACACCGCCCCCCCCAGAACTCATCATGCATGGCCACACGCGAGCCACCCACTCGCCCATTTGGTCCGTTGCGACAGCTAATCTTGGGCCCGTTAGTGAGCGCCTGTTTGGATCGCGCGAGGAGAGAGATCATGGGAGTGGCGTTTCGAGCGCATCCCCCATCCCGCGCCCACCACCACCACCACCGTTATCTCGCCTGGGTATCGATCGAAAAGCGGCGCTGGGTGATGAGAGGGGGTAGGGGTGATGGCAGTGCCGGATTAAGCTAGTTTGGGGCCTGTAGCATGTGTTAGAAAGGGGCCCTAAATAAAATGAAATAAACACCTAAATATTAAAACATAAAAATGTTAGTTGCATAATAAAGTTATTGTATTTTTTAATTTGCTATACAGCCAGATAATACGACAAATCAGTACCCACCCAGTCGTCCATAAAAGTTGAAGGCGGCATAGTACTATAGTAATAGAGCAAGTGCACAATCACTGAACCCGAATTGATAGCTTGAGAGTGCGGGGCCCGTAGCTACGACATGTGTAGCTACTACATGTGTAGCTACTACATGTAGTAGCTACGACATGTGTAGCTACGACATGTGTAGCTACGACATGTGTAGCTACGACATGTGTAGCTACTACATGTGTAGCTACGACATGTGTAGCTACGACATGTGTAGCTACTACATGTGTAGCTACTACACGTGTAGCTACGACATGTGTAGCTACTACACGTGTAGCTACGACATATGTAGCTACTTGTGCTACTGAGATAATCCCGCACTGGGTGAAGGGGTTGGGGGCGGCGGTCGCCAATGACGGGCGTCCCGAGTGGCACCCGGAGGCGGGCGACCGACGGGAGGACGTGAAGGCGGACGGGGTGTGGACGCTGCCGGGGGGCGGGGGCGGCCACTGGGAGTTGACGCGTGGGATCCGTGTGACGTTGGCGGCCACGCCATCTTCGGGCGCCGGCCCCGGTGACCTCTCGGCGTTGACCGTGACCGCCGCCGGCATCGAGGAAGCGTTCCGCCGCACCGCTTGTGCCAAGCTGGGTGTGCTTTTGAGGCCAGGCGCGATGGCTTCTGTGACTTACGCAGTGACTAGATCGGGTCGACTGGCAGATACGCGACCTCTGATCAACCGCCGTGCCAACCTTCTTCTTGCGGCGTCACTCGGATTCTTGTTCATCCTTTTCCCTCGGTGTCTTGCACGTCCAGCAGCAGCAGCAGCATGAGGAGAAATATTGAGGGGCCCCATAACTTGTCATACCACCGGGTGGTGCTTATGCATAACGTGAGATTGCCGCGTGTCAGACGTGAGACGGCGTGTTGGGGTTGGTGTGCGTCTGTGTGTTCGAGTACCCGTGCTTAATGTACGTGTGAATGCACACACACCCACACACACTGAATGACTTGTTGCGGAAAGTGCTGTTTGCGAGCACCTATTAAGTCAGGCATTGCCGCAAGAGGGGCTGGCGAGGCAGGACCGTGTCTGGCCGTCTTTGTCTCAACGGTGCTGATGTTCACACACCGTCAAAGAGGCACACGTTTGGGGCCTCGCGCAGCCTAGGGGAGACCAAGGTGAGGTTCCAGGTATCATTCACCACCGGTGCTGCGATTGCTCGGTCACACCACTGCTGGCAAAGGGGCTTCTTCTGGAGGGCGTTCTAGAGAGCACCTCTCGACGGAATTGGGCCTCCCCGTCAACACTGGCTCGACGTCTGGGAAGAGGTGCGAACGCCCACGCTTTACCCCACCACGCACGAGACGCTGCCAATCGACTGGGTGGACAGAGTTAGCCGGGGTGTGGTGGGGATTCGTAGGAAACCTCTGCGCCGTTGTTTCCAACTGCCTCGCCCATCACACCAGGGCAGCGGTCCGGCACAACGCGCGTAGCAGCACTTAATTAACCCGTTGGGATAGCTTCGCGAACGCATCCCCTCGATGACGTCAACAACAACCCCCGCGGCTCGGACGGCAGCGGCAGCAATACGTCTCTGAACGGTGCTTTGTGTCCGGAGAGACGGCGGGCGCAGTGCCGCCGCCCGTGTGCCGTGGCGTGCGTGGCTGCGTTTACACGCGACCCCGAGCGGTGAACTCCGCCGTCGGGATGCGGAGCATTTCTCCGCAGCCTCCACAGCAGGAATAAAAAAAAAAAGGTTTCCAGGCTCTGCGGAGGGAGGGCACGGGCGGGACGGGCCATTACGGGCAGAACTCGGAGATTGCTTTGTGGAAAATGTGACCGGCTTACGGGAGCGTGATAAAAAAAAAACACATCGATGAGCGGAGGAAATCTCATTTGAGATGCGCCCATCCCCTCCGACTGTTTACCACTTGGCCCCCGCTTGAACCAGCGATGGGGGAGTGGGTGGGCGATCGGCCAACAGATGACGGCCCCACAACCGCGAAAGGGAGGACGTTGAGAGCCGTCCGAGGAATATGAGCGAGCCGGGCACCGCAGCGGGGAAGAAGACATGGGTGGAGGGAGAGGCCTTGCGTGGTTGGCGTTCACAGCTGCTGCTGATGTTGCTGCAATGCCCCCTGAATCCCTTAAACCGCACTTTGAGCTTTTATTAAATTGCAACTCGATTTGTTGGGTCAGTGAGGCAAGGTGGTTTGACTCGGATTACGTTCATAGGATTATGCTCTCTGCCGTATTTGGATTGGTCGCTTCGTCCGGACGTAGAGGTTGTTGTCGTTTATTTGTTGACGTGGGTAAGTGACATTCAGCCGTCAGCTGTTTTACAAGAGTGACCCGCGGAGGATCTTGGTGGGGACAAAAGGTTACATCGTATAAAATCATAACACTGCAGACACTCAGTATTAAACGCATTCGAGGATTGCCGTTCGTAACGATAGATTTGGGCCTCCCACCGGCATTATTGGTAATGAAAGGCGGGTGGGGAAAACGAGGATATGTAGCGGTAGCAGCCGAAGCAGGCGCATGCGAACTGAAGCGACGAAAAGAATCCTGAAGCGGCAGCTTGACGACATCGCCCAGGGAGCGTTTGACACAATGCTCGCTCTCTCGCTTCGGGGAGGCTCCAAAAGCTCGCGTCAAGATTCAGACACTTCGTCTTCATTTCCGAGCTCGCTTTGAAAATGACGCTTCCGTTAATGCAAACTGGATATCAAATTATCATCGTTGGTGTAGCGACTACATTGGTGGCCTTGCGTTGGAAGTCTTCTGCCGCCGACAGAGCTCAATATATACCGTGGTAGCGTAGCTCCAGCGTACTGTGCCAATGGCACGATATCATCGGGGCTTAATATGCCACGCTAAATCTTTCCCGAGAACAGCATGTTCGGCTAAACGCTGGATTACATGCGATTAGACGACTTTTGTACCGTCTCGGTATCTGACCGCAGAATGCATGTTCGGTGTTTAATTGTACTGTATGCGTAATGCTGTTTTTTTAATACTATATCGGTGTAAAAGTGAAAAGGTTACCACCAGGGGTTGCAAATGCTTCGAATATCCAGCATGATCAGTATTCTGCATGGGCAGTGTCCACTGTTCGAGACACATGAAATAGCCACACCAGTGTCTACCGTGGGCACAAAGTGTATGATAGCAAGATATATGGGGCAGTGACCTGGCCCATATATCGTGACACGTGGAATCAAACAAATCACTCGAGACGCAGTTTATGCGAATTTCGTCGCAAGAGGGTCACACGTTTGGCGCGATGAATGAATTAATGACCTGGCCCAACGGTAGCGTATTTGGCGCTTGCGGCAGAGGTTCGCGGTTAGAATCCAGTGGGCCGCGCCTGGCTATTGCTACATTGTGTGCATTAACCCATGAAATACGTATGCTTCACAGTGGGCGTTCGAGGCACCTCGCGATATCATTCGAGTTGGCCATTCTGTGCCCGGCGGCGCGGTCCACATTTTCAGAATTAGAAAAATTGCCTTCAAAGTCTTCAACGAGGATTACATAGAGCAACATGCACCCCCCCTCCCACCTACTGAAACACAGCGCCTTCGCAATAGCCTTGTACTGTAAGAATGGCGCGAATATCATTGCGCAATTTTTTTTATTATCAATGATTACTACTGTCATACTGTTTGTTTTAAAGACGTACTTTATATTTATTTTCGCGTTCCGTAGACCTTTCACACGACGTACATTTTTGCTCTGAGATAGTGTCCTCTGTCGGACATACTATGGTTCCCTTCTTTAATTACTTTTCCTTTCTCAGAATCCAGCAATGTGCACGTCTTTTGGACGTAACCGTCCATCCGTCTGTCCTAGCCAGCCAACGACAATTGTTTTCTAATATAGTATGAAAGCTTCGATTTAAAGCTTTCGTGACCTGTCGGGACGACAGAGCTTCAATGAATTCATTGAAGCTCTGTCGTCCCAACAGGTCTGTACCTTTCACCTGAAGACGGCCGCTTGCGTTGTGGCCAAAACGTCGTGAGAATTTTATTGTGTTATTTTATTATTTTATTCTCATTCTACGTGACCTTACCGAAAGAACCAAAGAAGATAGTATGAAAGCTACCACAGCCACCTTGCTATGATATGTGTTTGCCAATTGAGAGGTGAAACAACTCCAACAAATCATTGTTATCGTTTGCCATCCCAGGTGGTACCGATGAGACATTTTTCGGACCAATGGCTTCAGAAGAAGCTCAGTGGCACGGCGGGAGCCGGAGTCTGGCGAGTGCTGTTGAAGTCATGCGGCAATAATTGGGGTTGCCAGTGAGTGTAACCCACCCACCTGCATGGTCTCGGCTGAAACAGCTGAAGTGGAAGCCACTCTGTCCCCAGGACATTAATTAACCTTTGCGAATGCGCCACTGGTGCAAAAAGAGGCCACGGTGCTCGTAAGGTCCACGGACGATCCCCGCTGTTGCCGTGACGACCGTCAAAATGAGCAGGGGGACAAGGCATCTGGGGGGAGGTGGTGGTGGTGGAGGGGGGAGGTGGTCGGCAGCGGGAAGGTAGGGGGTGAAGAGCAACCTGCATACATCGACCGAAATAAAACTTG